AAAAAAAAAAAAAAAGACAAGAAATAAGCTGGGCCTGTGAATTTCACCACTCGCGAGAGGGGTATGTCAGAAACTTTGGGTTAATTTAGTAGGTATCGATTTCCTTGACTGCGCCTTTGAAACTTGTTTCAGCTTCTTCTAGCCGTGGCTCTATTGTTATTTTCCTTACTCCTCATTATTTTCTTTTCACTGACCTGACATATTGAATTAATGTAAATTAAATGTGTTTATGATGTAACTCCACTGTACATTTTACATTCATATTATATGAGTAAGTAAAGGATGAAAGGATATACGCGACCTATATGTATGTGCTGTATTTGGGCATTTTCTTGAAAACTAATTAATAGCTAGCTTATTTATGATTATTAGTTTAATAAGCTTCCGTGTGGCAGAAAAAATTTAGATTTAAAACTAACAACTAAATCATGGTTTTGGGTTAGGATCTAAATATACAGGTTTAAAGCTTGCTGCAAACTCTCAGATATATTTTGATAGACGTGTTTCTCCATGATGGAAACAAGCAGGAACTACATAATCAAATGTCATCGACCAAAAATGACTGAAGAATCAAATGTTGGAGATATTTTTAGGTGTTTTTGTTCCTAGCTATTTTGAGTTCAAAGAAAACAAAGAACAACAACAACAACAACAACAAGACAAGAAATAGCAAGTGTTGGTGAAAATGTGCAGAAAAGGGAACATCTGTGCACTGTTGGTGGGACTATAAACTGGTGCAACCACTGTGGAAAACAGTATGGAGCTTCCTTGAAAAAAATTAAAGATACAATTAATAAATGATCCAGCAATCCCACTTGGGGATATAGATTTGAGGAAAATGAAATCAAAATCTTAAAAAGATATCACCACTCCTAGGAATATATATCACTGAGAAGCTCTTGCACATGTGAACCATTATAATATGAACAGGATTGTAAAAGCAAGCAGAGTTATCCCAAATTAGAAAGTATTTAACAGGTAAAATGGAAAAACACGCTGCGGTGGAATCAAACAACAGAAATACTCCACAGTAATGCAGACAGACAAGCTAGAGCTACGGGCAACACTGGTGACTCTTACAGAAGGTTGAACAGAAGAAGTAAGGTATAACAAAGCAAATCTATGATTCCATAGGTCCTATTAATATGCAACTCAAAAATAAGCGAAACTAAATTGTATTGTTCAGAGGTGTAAACATAGGAGATATGACCATAAGGCAAAGCAAATAAATGATTACCATGAAATTCAAGAGTATGATTGCATACGAACTGGAGTAAGAGGTTTTGAACTTGAAAGAACATGCATATTCTTTCTGGGGACCTGCAATTTTCTATTTCATAACCATTGCATTCGCGTTTGCGTTATAATACTTTGCTAAATTGTACATCTATGTTTCATTTACTTCTCTGCACATACACTGAGTTTCAAAATAAAAAGTTTAAAAATTGTGTATTACTTATCTGTTGTATAGAAACTGATCACAAAATTTAACAGTTTAAAATGAGCAAATACTTATTATCTCACACATTTCTGAAGGCAAGGCTTTCGGGGGTGTCTTAGGTGGGTGGCTTTGCTTTGGTGTCAAGTCATCGGCCAGGGCTGTGGTCATATGAAGGCTTGACTAGGGCTGAAAGATCCAATTCTATGAAAGTTTACACACATGTCTGTTGGTGGAGGCCTCAGCTCCTTTCCATGTAAGCCTCTTCATAGGGCTGTCACTTTATCACATACTATTCATTAAAAGGAAGTCATTAAAGCCCAGTCCATGCTGAAAGACAGAGGAATTTACCTCCATCTCTTCAAAGGAATGGTATGAAAGTATCTGTGTACTTAAAATCACCGTAAGTTTTATAAAAAGTCTACTATAAACAAATTCAATGTAGAGCAGCTATATTAGGGAAAGCACCTGCAACATCCATGAAAGCAAAATGATTGAGTCTATTATAAATGAGGAAATGAAATGAAACACAATGAAAAAGATAACACATCCTCATGAGACTATAAGAGGAAAAATATAAACATTGCTAGTGAAAATGAAAATCTTGAGTTTCCCGTTTTGGGGGGAAGAAATATCACAATGTATTTTAGCGTTAAGACTTCAGCCACTTAACGTATGAATGATTTATTCTTAAAGGGGACCACCATGAATCAAATATGTATGGAGATCTTTACTTCACAATATTTGTAGAAGTAAAAAGCTGAAACCAATTGAACGACCAATAAATACAGAAAAGTTTGAATAAATTATGACACATCTGTGCTGTGGAAACATTTTTAAACATTCTACTGAAAAATACTGTACATACAGAAAAATGCAATATTGCATGTCTAAAGCCCCCCAAAATACCACAATCTGGTCAGACTCATGAAGTCAGCATTCTAATCAAGAAAGAGAACAATACTGGGACTCCCAAAGCCCTCTCAACTTCCCTCTAGCCTGAACCTCTCAGGGTAGCCACCATCCTGACATCTGAGAGCACAGATTAGTGTTGCTTTGTTTTGTACTTTGCACGCGTGAAATCAGATAGTGTGTTATGTGGTATACTACACACAGCTGACCCTAGAACATACTGGCTTGGACTGTGGGTCCGCTTATATGTGGATATATTTCAACAGTAAATAGTACAGGACTACATAGTCTGTGGCTGGTTGAATCTACACAAGCAGAGTAACCATGGCTACAGAGGGCCGACTGTAAGCTACACACAGGTTAACCCCTGTGTTGTTCAAGGATCAACTGTAGTTTTATTTTCCTTCATGTTGTCTTTGTCAGATTCATCCATATCACATGCAGTTATAGGTATCTGATTCTCATTGCTGCATAGTAGTTCAGTGTGTCTCAATTTGTTTACCCACACCACTGTTGACAGGTATTTACAGTTTCCAGCTTGGGACTATTATAATTAATGCTATGAATATTCTAGTACATGTCTTTCAATAAATGTATGTGCATATTGGTGATAGATATAGACCTAGGAGTAGAATTGCTGGGTCATAGGGTATGCACGGGTTGGCTTAAGTACACTCCACCAAACAACGTTCCAAAGTGGTTGGACCAATTTATGATCCCATCAAGAGTGTATGAGATTTGCTATTGCTCCACATTCATGCCAACACTTGCTTTTTCCATCTTTTAGATTTCAACTATCAGGTGTGTATCATGAAGTGGTTCTCATGTTTTAGCCTAGAAGTCAAATTGTTTTTTCTTCACATTTAGGTATGCAATCCATATGGAGTCAGTTTTCACATATGGTATAAGTTAAGGGTCAAGTCACATTATTTCTCTCATATAGATATTCAACTGACTCA